GCTTGTGGTGTGACGGTGCATGAAGGTCACCATCATGTGATGAGCCTTTGCCTCATGTGTACTGAAGGTTGATTGCAATGGTCTCCAAATGATTTGCTTGTTATTATTACTGGGCTGTAGTCGATTCCACCCTGGACGCAAATGTTGTTTGGACTGGAGTATTAGCGCGGCAGGATGAAAGCGCCCTAATTGAATCCTTCATGGCTCATGACCAAAGCATGAGCCGATCGTTGTGACGGTAACTTATTGCACTATTTAGATCATGTTGCTTTACCTGAAGCCTATTCGTCGAGATTGGAATGTGCAGCCTAATGCGTGCAAAGTCATAGTCCATGTTGACTTCCCTTTACCATTCTATGATTAGAGACTGTGAAGAGAATATGAGTCTCGAAATGAGCTTCCAATCATGCGGCTACGCTACGAACTAATCACCCGGGACGAAATGAATGCTTCAGATCTATCGAAATAGTTAAATGTATTAATTTGAGACGTCTGTGTTCGGGCCAGAATTGCGTAGCTCTGGCCAGTTTTTCATATCACTACAGCGAAATCTAGGATAATACCGCCTACAGCGCAGTGCACCTCCATGTCAGGCGCAGTTCAACATGATCTCCTGTTAACGGTGACTGGCACCGTAAGGACATACCTTTGTATGTCGATTAAAGGTAATAACGATACAGTTATATTTTGAGACAAGCCATTTGGTTACAAAAAGCATTAGTAAGAAAGCATAGCAATGTATGGGACATGGCGTGCCGTGTAGTAATGCTATGTGATCATGTGTGTGATCATTGAGAGTCCGGAGGTTTCTCTGCAATTCAGACTTGATCATTTCTTATCCTGGAGGCCAGAACCCACAGTAGTGCATAATTATACCACTTTAGTCGTGAAAAAATTTAAAAGCACTGAAAGAGTGCAGCTCCCCTCGTGATATCGTACTTTCGTGACCAAACTTAACTCAATCATCTGGTTTCGAATTAATAAAGCAGGCACAAAAAGCCACGGAGGAAATGGAAAACTGTCGATGAATCACCGACGCACCTGTAAGCGATAAAATTCATCTACTGCAAGTTTCTACTCAAGTCTTCCAGATTTCAATATAAGGAATGGAAGCGCGCGGCATTTTGTCGTCGGAAGGGAATGATTTTGGCATCTAGCTGTCTCATGAAGCCTGCAAAAATATTCAGGTCTCGTTGTTGTCAGTCTAGCAGACAGTTGCCCAGACCCTGGATTACGGTTACTAACAGCTCCAGAAGCATATAAGTGAAGATGGACCTGGCGAAGAGGAATCAACGAAGTGTTCACATCTGGGCTGTGAAAGCTCTGCTTCTCTTGGTGTCTTACAATGTGCCAGAACTCAACGCCAAGGCTCTCCCGAACTGCTCTTATCCTGCAGTCTACTCTTTCGGTGACTCGCTCACGGACACTGGCAACAGCATTGCTGCCTTCCCGGATCAGTTCGCACAGGTGGAGCTTGATCCGTACGGATTTGAATTCCCCATGCACGCCGCTGATCGCTACAGCGACGGCAAACTTCCGATTGATTATCTAGGTGATATGCTCGTGCCCACATTCTTATAACGTAAAACTGAAGGTCAATGACGCTCTTCTAGACACTAGTTTTGCTAGTAGATCATTAACAAGTGCGCCAAAGTGATCGATGTGATTGAATTCATGTTGACAGAATTTGGAGTGAGAGGACGCCCCAATTACCCCTGGTTACGAAGCATTGCTGGAGATTTTGAGTATGGCACAAACTTCGCATCGGCTGGGGGCTCCTCACGCAACTCCACTGGATGGAAACCTGATCATGGCTTCAATACCCCGTTCTCGCTAAATGCGCAGGTGAGGTGGTTTGAGAGATACACGGTTCGCCTCTTGACCTACTACTACTACAAAAATTCTTTCGGGGATTCTGCCGGTAAGTTTTTGATGTGTCACGCTACACAGCAAAAAAGTAAAAATGTAAAAAAGAAAAACAGGATTTATGATATGAACCTCAATATCACTTAACTAACTTTTCGCTCACATTTCTCCTTGATTTGTGACAGTGGTGCAAACAACTCTGCCTGCTGAGAATTCGCTCAATCAGTCGCTGTATATGATGTACGCCGGCTTTCAGTACTACTTCTTCGACCTGTACGAGAAAAAGCTGACGCCGGGCCAAGGATTAGACACCGTCCCTGACGTCGTGGACGCCATAAACACGGCAATTGAGAGTTTGGTTGGGCTATATGCCACAGAGGTTTTGGTTGTGAACTTGCCACCTTTGGGATGCATTCCTTCTCTATTAACTCTGTTTTCATCCCAAAATTCAGACGAATACGACACCTACGGCTACCTGAAGAACATTAACCTGATCTCCACAACTCACAATAAGATTCTCCAAGACACGGTTACTGATTTACGAGCCAAATTCACAAACGTCACCTTCTACCTTGGCAATTTGCACGATGTTTACATCGATATTCTCAAAAGCCCCGAGAGTTACAGTAAGCCCCGCTCCGCTGTAAAATTCCTTCACTTGATGTTGTCATCGACGCAAAACTCAGTCGGCTGTTATGCGCAGATGGTGTTGTTCAAGTGCTGATGACCCATCTCGCTTGATTGTTGTTGATGCAGACGTGACGAAGCCGCTGTAGGCAGCCTGCGGCTATGGCGGCAAGTACAACTTCAACATGGAAGTGAAGTGTGGGGAAACTGGCGAAATTGATGATAAATTTGTTAACCTCACCTCGAAAAACCACACGACTGCCAAGAAGTACCTAAGGTTTGACGGTATCCACCTCTCTAACACTGCAAACAAGGCCATAGCCATGGCTTTCTTTGGAGGCAAACACATTACACCAGCGGGAGGCTTCAACTGCACGCCTGACTATTCACGGTTCGATGGTAGGCAGTAGACACTGAAGCTACCAGAAACCCAGCAGCACCAGTTGGCTTCAATATGCACTAATCTACAGAAATCGTGTTATGGGATGTGCTACCTTGCAAATAAGTTGCGCAGTCTTAAGTTAGGACCTTTCCTACAGAAGGTACTATCTTCGTAAGTATTTGATTACTCAGCTCCAAGGGAGCAGTAGGCAATCACCAAGCCAATTATCCTCTTTCGTTGAGTAAATTCATTATACTTTGTTTCAGATAAAGAATCCTGAAAATAAATTCCTAACTTCACAGTGCCTGAAAAATTGTCGATTTCTCAATTCGAGATTATTATGTGACTTGCAGGTACAAAGAAATTTCTTCCAAGTTGTATTCTCTTTGGAAGGACACGAACTTCATTATCTAGTGCCTTTGACAATGGCTTTTGCAGAACAGTGATTCCACAACATATATATATATATATATATATATGTATATTTATATTTTCTCACATATCAGTTATGCACACCAATCTGGTAATTAGATTGAGCCACCAGCAATCTGTTACTACATTTTGCAGAAAATATAAGCTTTTTTATCCTCACCATGATAACTAGCTATTCGACCGCCAAAATTGTCACCAAACGAGACTCGCAAGTTGTGCTTGGATCGACGTGGACAGCAAAAGATGTCATCTATACATATGTCTACGAACACTTAGTGTCCAGGATTGGGCTTTTTTACATGGTAATGTACATTTGAGTTTCTAGGCTGAAGTGATGAAGCGGTGGAGCTTACAGGCAACTTACTGCACTAGTTGCAAGAGCACGCATTTTGTTGACTGAATGGGAGCATCCCGCTTTGAGTCAGCTCGTCAAAATTATTGCAGTAGCATTACGGTTTGCTGTTTGCTGAAACAATTTACGCCCAAAAGAACTACTAGTAAATCTTCTAATTATCAACACATAAGACAAAGAATAGTTTGAGGAACTCACAAAACCTCCCATAGCTTCTTACCAAGCTTCATAGCAACGCCAAGGAACTGTAATTTTATAAGTTTCTAAGAAGGTTGTGCAAAGATTGGCTGGTGTGAAGAGGATGCTCACCACATGACTGGTTGAGAGTGAATACAATTTCATCCTCCAAAATTAACTCGGTTAGGAAGCATTGTGTTGCATGTTCAGCAATAAATCTGAATCATAAACAGAAACAATCATAGTTAACGCAATCGAAGGGAAAATTTTAGTTTCATATTCTCTCTAGAGCGTTAACAGAGGCTGTTCCCTTCACTTGCAGACCAGGCTGCGGCAAACAAAGATGGAAAGGATGTTGTTGAACTTGGCATTTGCTGACTATCTCCTTCGTCATTTTGATTCCATAGAATCACGTAGAAGGCGGTCAAGTTAGAAGTTACGGAAACTCGACTATCGATCACGGACAATGGTGATTCAGGTGGCAATCACTGATCTCAGAGGAGTGTAATACTCAGCGGGAAGGAATTTGAGCGTGAACCACGTCAGCAGTACACTGCGAACAAAAGTTTAGAATTCTCACAAACGTTTGTTGCAAAAACAGCAGCAAACTCTGTCACAAAAACAATATCCAGAAATTTGAAGACCGAAATGACTTCCGTGTACTAAGAGAACGCCCACGTTCGGCTGATCAACACAAACCAGGCCTCTCATTTGAGACTACCTTCCGTCGATCACACCACGAATCACCTTCACGTCGAAATTGGACAATCTATCTGAAGCACCTAAGAGCTGATGAAGTCGTCAGTGATGTAGTCATTCTTCAATTGGGTTAGGCACTGCTTGCATCAAAAAGCACCATGCACTGACTTATAGGCACTTCTGGTTCCTGAGATATTGTGGAAGCTAATCTCACTAATCATTTTCACAGCGTCTGAAGCATATGATCGCCGAGTTTCAGCCTTAACCCAAACCTTGACGAATCAACTATTCAAAGCTACACAATCTATTAACCGAGTACGTACAGACCTACGTATGTGGAAAAATAAATGTACACTATTGAGGAATTTTCGTGAATTTCCGTCGAATTTTGAGGAATTTGGGGAATTTATGGGTGTTCCTGACAGAATATCCTGCAGAGAAAGTGTAGACAGATACACGATGAAGGAGAACAAGTGGAAGCAGGAGGATCACATCCAAGCCAGGGCAACCCTGAAGATGACTGCGCTGGCCGCACTCCAAGACGGCGTTCCCTGCATTCCCATCATCTTCACTCCCTGTCGAATTCTCTCATCAACTCCGAAGAGTTAGTTGTGGTTGGGATCTGCTCCGATGTCAATCGCTATAGCCTCAGCGATGCATTATAATGATGCAGCAAGAGCCTCTGCCCTTGATACAGGTGCATTTCTATTGATTTTCTGCTGATTGGGCATTTTGTTCATCACCTTTAGGGCTTTCATACGTTGTGTTCAAATGCTCTTCTGCTTGACTCTTTTGGATTGTGTCGAATCACACATCCTAGATGCCGACGCTTGTATATGGGCGTCGGTGAAAAGCGTGCAGCATTGTGCGTCAGTGGCAACTGTGGTGGTGTTGCAAGATTTGCGCTCTGTCAGGAACTCTGAGAGTAATACTCCACTGTTCCTCCTCGAAAAATGAACTTGAATGACTAGATTCTCATTTGCGCTAATACGCCTGCTTCTTCATAATCAACTTTTTTACCTGTTTATAGTGAATGAACCGTTTTCAAGCTACTAATGTTGTGAGGTTTTGAGTCTCTACTAAATTCCCAGAGGGTATGAGTGCTGCATTAATGCAAGAAACAATTGGAAAATCTGTTCGCCTAACTTGACATCATCTTGCTCATGTCAAGAACACCTCCTTGGATCTATCGGCTAAGCTAATACCACATTGCATTACCCCTGTTACGCTAACCAGTTCCTGTTCATCACCTTCTTTTACTTAACAGAGCTTTGCATGTTTTAACGGCAATGATCAGATAGTATGAAGCTGGGTTAATTTGCTGTTGTGATTGGAGGCGACCTTTTACGAGGTGGCTAGGCTTTCTTTCTTAGATAACATGGTGCTTTCATTAAGAAGCACCGAAACCCATATTTCAAATTCCTGCTGACTTTGAAATTTTTGATTGAGTACTCAGCGTTGAGTTCTGTGGTCTCCAGAAAATGCGGCAGAACCTGAATGAGAAGATAGCGAAGTCAAACGCTGCAATTGATGATACCTCAGCGGAACTGAGAACAGAGGATGGTCACATTAACCCCAATAACTTTTTTTAGGACTAGTCAGCTGCTTGATTTGTGGCTACATATCAGTACGAGAAAGTTTTCGAGATGAGCATGTCGAATGTAAATTCCATTTTTGCGTTTGGCCACCTCGTTGATCAACAATGTCCGCACCCTTGATGGAGAGGGGCATTTGCTTTGAAGTGGTGAGATTTAAGACCAACTTGTAACAATTTGATCTTTTTCTCTTTTTGTCTTTCTCCATCTCCATACTAGAATGTCGCTGCATTTAAAGTAGCTGCTCTGTTGAAGCTCTATCGATTCCTGATTGATGTGAAGAAAATTATTCTAGAATCTCATTACAGCGGAATGTCCTTCGGTATTTCCAAATAATTGCACTGAGACACTGTCTATCAGCTGCCTATCATCTTCAAAAGTAATTCATTGTGTTGAGGACTATATCTATGATAAGATTGTGGCGACCGATTCTAATGGCATGCGGAGATATCTTTGACATGGCATACCGTCATTTTCAGAACAAGCATCCGACGAGGCCTGCACGTCATTCTAATTGAGAGTGTCCTGAGATCGTCTTTCTGGCTTTTTTGCAGTGAGAGAACGTCGTCTCTCGAAAACTGAACTGGCATTACATCCGAGGCAACGCCAAGCGCAAAAATTTATGACCATGGTGAAGAAATAGTCTCTGCTGGAAGGCGAGACGGTGACAAGTAGTCTATACCCAGCGACCTTTGGAGCACAACCCTTAACCAGCAACTCATTGGACTGGCTCTCACATGGAGAGTGCAGACACGCGAGGAGATGCGCCTTCAGGACCGCGTCCCCAGATAAGTACATTTCATGACTTCATTGTTCAATTTGAAGTTGACTGCAACACAAGACATTTCGCTTGTCAAGGAAAGAGACCCAACATAGGGCCACGTTGCTTGCTGATCTGCCCATAAGAGGACCTGAAAGCGCCATCCCACCATCCACTCTAGCCCTGGAGCTACCAGCCTACTCTGCGACCTCGTCGTCAACCATGCAGGGACATGCGGCCACCACACGTTTGGATATGTTACCACCTTCCGAAATGGAGGAGTGAGGGTTTAGAGTCAGGAAGCTCAAGCATATCCCAAACCATACTGAAAACTTGCTTCTTTCGACACGATGCTCCACCGCAGCTGTGATGATGTCGGCAAACTTCAGTAGCGTTTTATCAGATTAATGAACGATCCATCTCACTGAGTAGATTCTACAGTAAACACAACCTTTGTCACCAGCATCAACTCATCAGCAATGTGCTCAACTTGCTTGCTACAGCACCAGGTGATCGATTCAAGTCACGACCACTGAATGGGGATATCCTCGATGGAACTAAGCTCTGGATCCACTATCATTTTCATGGAGAACCTAGAGAACCGGAGTCTTAAAATGGTGGCTTTTATTAAAACTTGATTAAACCAGATGATTAGTAAAGTGATCTAAGCTGGGCGTCATTGAGGTTCACGAGTGTCAGGAAGGAATTTGCGTTTGTGCTCATCGAAATCCATCCTTGTTGTTGAATGAGAGTCCTGAGTATAATTATATATATATATATATATATATACATATGTGTAATGTATGATTTATTATATATTTATTTATTTATTTGTTTTTTTTAAATTATGTAGTGTAAATAAGGAAGATTGATCAGTGGATGGCATAGACACTAAGGATAGAAATAGGTTTATATATTTAGTGGTCACTGTTCACTTCATGGAATTGAGATTTATTCAGTGGGTGAATGATGAATAGTGGTTGACCTAGCAGGAGTTATAATTGGAGAGGAAGTAAGATTGATTTTTTTATTTTTTATTTTTTTTGGACATGGTATAAGTTTAAAACATATGGTTTATTAGCATAGACTTTGAACTTAATGAACCATGTGCTTTTATTATTTGCTTAAAGTAAATAATAGATTTGCAAATAATATCAAAGTTATTTTGGTTACTTTCATTGATTTCTACATAATAAGTGATTATTATTTATTAATATAAGTTTGAATGGTGCTATTGAAGAATAAATATACTAAAAATAATATAAAGTTACACAAACATGTTGCAAATTAAGTAAATGTAAAGACAATGTTTCATATTTTATTTAAAAACAAATCACTTACAAGTTTACTTATGTTTTGTAAGAAAACATTTTAGTTGCACATCTTAATCATTTGTGTAATTCTAATTATCACAATATTTAAATTATAAAAAATTATAATCTTAATAGAATTTATTTTATAGTTTTTATTAATATTAATCATAGGAAAAACTACTAACTATTGCATGTAACAACTATTTTGTTCCACCTCAAATCTTAAGTTCACAAATATCCTGACTTTTAGATAGTTTTAGGCATCACTTTTATTTTTAAAAATTTTGCAAAAAAGTATGTAGTAATTGATGTGATAATTATGCTTGATATGATTTCATTTTTTATTTATTTATATTATAAAAAATTATTTTAACGCTATGTCTAAAAAAAATTAAAAACTAAAAGTGGACTTCAACATTCCTCAAGAAGCCCTCATAAAATATTAAACAATTGCTAATCGTTTGTTATTACATCCATCACTTCATCGTTTTCGTCTAAGAACTCATTCATCCTTCATCCACCCTCCTCCATCCATCCATGCTTAATTCATTATCCATCCCTCATCCATCCAGATGAGGATAGTTGAAACCAGGGACGTGCATACCGAAGAAACGTGATCTCCGTTTGCAATGGAGACGCTCACACGATGACTCACATCACCCAACGCAACGCAACGCAACGCCGCAGCTTTCAGCACCAGCACCACCCACATGGTAGTAAATCAGTTAGTGCATCCTTGCACGCATGCGAAAGGAGTCAGTCAGTCATGTCTCAGTATTCTACTCAAACCTGCAACCTCGACTACTATCCTTCCTGATCCTTCCCGATCCTTGCTTGCTGGTTCAGCTTGAATCGAAGGGTGAATGGACAACCCATGTGGCTTGAGTCGTAGTTTTCTTCGCAGAACAGATGATCTGAAATCTACGTGCTTGACTTTGACACTGCTTCCATCTTTCCAAGTATAACTGCACCCTACTCAGCTCTCAATGTTGACGCTGAATATTCAACGAGGAGGTCCTTTATGTTCGGGTTGTGATTTAAGAGAGGAAGACAGTCAATCCTCTGTGCTGCACTAGAGGGGTTAAAGCGGCGATGGCCCACGACACGGTACTTGAAAACGCAGGAATGGAATGAATTTGTCAAGCATACATTTCGGTGAACACTCTCAACTTGCGCATAGGGCTTGAGTCGTGCAAATCATCGTCGCCTTCACTGATCCATGAACTCGGCGTATTCCGAAACTTGCTGCGTGCTCTTAGAAAAACCAAGCTGAAAGTTTCTGGGCTCTTAGAAAATGCACTACCATAATCGATGTGATTAACAAACCACCAAAATGCTATCAACCCCATCACATCGTTCACCATGCGAATCCCATCACGCAGGTTTCAGGAAATCCTGATCCAGACTCAACCGACCACGGAACTCCGAAACTGACACACAACCTCCGATGTCCGGTCAAAATCCATCAACATAACATACCAATTCCGTGCTCCTCTACCACTTTGAATGCGACCGGCTGGCCACCAATTATCCCAGCTTCATCACACCACCATTGCACTGTGTTCACCATTCCCCACCTTCTGCATCATCGCCAGCACTACCACCATCATGAGGTGCTGTAGCATCCACGCATACCGCATGACGGCGACAAGCAGTATGCTTTCCACATGGGAGCCATCAAATTATCGAAAGCATGCATGCTACTTGGCGCACACCCAACTTTCGACTCTACCATTGCCGATCACAAATTGGAAAAATGTCCACATAATGTCGGATTTTCAGAAGCAAACAAGAGCATACAATGCAAGCTCCGCTCGATCGTATCTACTTACCTGGAGACGAGGAAGATATTGCCCCGTATTTCGGTGACTTGGACAGGCGACGAGACTGGTTCTCATTATTGGAGATGATGCGACACCCTAGGAATGACAAGCACGGGCATCAAAATCTTTAGTCGAATCATCTTCATTTTCTCCTTTATTAACGCCTGTCCTACGAACCTGTCGGACAGTGACACTTAATGACGCAGGTCAGGTTTTGGATTTGCTGCTCTAGGTTAGCAGTGGTGCTAACTCCAAAGCTTGACTCTGATCGAACTAATCTGTGCTGTGGGTGATAGAGAGCATGAGGTGTGTGTGCCACATCGATCGCCCCATTCGATGATCTCGCGGAGAATGGCTTTGATATCAACCTCGGAATAGCGGAAGATGAAGACCATACCTCGAAGAAGGTGAAGGTCACCTTAAGCTGCGAACCACGTTACAATTTGCACGAAAACGATCAATTCACCGGCATCAATGCATGTGAGACTCGGTGATGCAGACTTCACAGGACCCATTGTGACGCAGAGCGTCAATCTGCAACCCTGATTTCGGTGGACAGCTTACGAGATCGCCTCACAAATCCGAGGAGAGCATGCAATTGGGGTGCTGGGAATGGGCCCAAGTCCAAACCCTAATCTCAGGATTCATCAGTTGGCTAACAATCCAGAGAGGTGAATGTTTTATACATGATCAAAATTTTGATATTTACTCAATATTCATGCATTCTTAATTTTCTATATTTCGGTTGTGTTTTCATGCTTCATTTCAACATTTGAGAGCAGCGATAAGTGTTTTTTTGTGATGATAAGTTTCCATGTTTTGGTTGGAAATTGGACTAAAATGTATTTCTCATAATCTTAAAGAGAAGCTTGAAAACTCATGTTAAACTGATTGAATTTGTTTTTTTCGAAAGAATTCAACAAACTGGTACAAAACAGGTTCCTACACAAGAAAATAATATAAAATTTTATGAGATCATGTATTAATGAAAAATGAGTGTATTTTGTTGTTGTTGCTGTAGTGAAAAGAAACAAGATCCACTGCTCTCTTTTGTGCAACTTATACTGCTTAAACAGGGTACCAGGATTACTGAAAAGTTAAATGAAGTTTAAAGACATTCATTTCATTGAGTAAGTTGTCGACAGAATTTCAAATATTAGTGTATGACACAAGCAGGAATATTGCAAAATATCTCCCGACTACTTAATTTTGAAAACGAATTTTAATGAAGCGTTTTTTTAACATTTGGAAACTCAGCTCCAGCAAGTCAACAACAAAGCGTCTTGTTACAAGTCTTTCAATTACCCTCGTATTCAGATTTTCTAAAAGCACATTGCGTTCTTTACATAGATGTCATAATAGGATTGTAGAATATGGATAGATGTCTCATAATATGAATGAAATTTGTAGTACTTGATATGTTATTTTGGTTGTAACATCACATCAATTTGTTGTTGACGTGCATCCATTGGTGATTGTTCATTGATTATTTGGATAATGATGTTATTTGTAAAAGTCTTGAAACTCAACTTTATATTAATTGCAACAACGATCTTACAACAGAGAACGTTCAAAATGTTTGTCTCTACAGAAGCAAATGTTCTTTACAAAAAAATAAGTATACATTGATTTTTTAACAACACTGTAAATCCGTATCTGCTGAAAGGTTGATAGATGTACTGGACTCAATCCATGCAATGGGTAGTCTTAATTTTTGTACTTTCTAGAATATAACTTAAAATAATCTGAAATGAACGGCCAAATTGATATTTGTTAAATGTTTTATTTTGAAGTAAGTTTTTTAGTTGGTCTTCTTCAAGACTTCCAGTTTTAATGAGCAACAGCAGATGGTGCTTTTGCGTGGTGAGAGGTCCTGTGCATGCAATCAGTCGCATAATTTATACTATCATGTACCCTTGTATGTGGAATAAGTCTCCGGTGTGGCAGCTTTTGATGAAAGTAAAGCGTCAAACCGGGCACCTTGTGGATTGATTGAAATCTCATGGCCAACCACCTTTTAATCACAGTTTTCTCAATTATAACTCGGAAAAGACTTTCATTGCAGAGCGAAGTGAAATGCCAGCTTTTCACAATCATCAATCTGGCAGGATCGAGATTTGAGGACATCCTAGAGACTTGTGAGCGTTTCGGCAAAAAAATGCTTGCACAGGTTGAAAAAACTGAGACAGCAAAAAGGGAAGTAGCAGCAATGCGGCACAGATCCCCAACAAGCATTGGGAATTGATGACGACGATGCACGATTCTCCAAGCCCACCCCCATTCCGAGGCAATCATCTCCGCTGCCACGACCTTTACAGAGCTCTAACTCAGTTTGCAGCTTTCGCAGATTGACATGGCTGGGTCGTGAGGTAACTAACTTGTGAGCTTGGATTGCTGAACCCTCGTCCAGCATCCGATGGGACTCGAGTGTCGCGCCAACGGCTTCAGGCAAAAGATGACATTTGTCACACTTCTGGAGGAAACACTGGGGATAAGTCTCGTAGACTGAAGGACCTACAATCCGCAGCACTAGACTAGGAACAGTGTGGGTTAATCACAAACCACTGTAGAATGATTGTTTTATTTAGTAATTTAAGCCGCCTGTAAATGGAAGGCACCCAGAGCACTTGGACACATTAGTATGGATGTGTTGTTATTTCTATTGCGCTGAAAGATCTCCCCCCTGGTTCTTTAGCATTGAATGCGGTGTCAGCTTGGTGGGAACGGTTGATCACTCCACACTTAGCACAACAGTTATAAACTCATGTACAATCAACCTCTAGAATCACAAGCGTTGCTATGTTTAGTAATATCACAAGCTGTGTAGAACTTGTCTGGTAACCAGTCAAGGTTGGGACGTAGTCCCAAGTCAAAAAAGTATTTGGGGATTTTTGCACAGGAAATGAACAAGGGCATATATTCAAAGCACTAGAGAATCAGATGTGGAAAAGCGAGGTTAGAATGCCCGGAAATACTTGAAAGCAAGCAACCAGTCGTCTTTGATGGCGCACAGCAATTTATTAAAAAAGAGTCGGAATTTGTGAATATCACTGAGTTTTCTCATCTCCATGAGGAGGTCCTAAGTAAAGATAACCTAATTATTGTCTATACATGAGTCTTTCCTAGTGTAAAAATAATAAAAAATAAAAAATAAAAACAGATGCCTGCAGGACTATGGGAACAGCCTCTAACCAGGCAACTGCGAGATAAACCTTGGCAATCTGTCAAATCTTTTCAAAGAGACTGTTCAACTTGATGTTTCCAGTAGTGAGTTGAATCCTATCAAAACTCTTCGAGGTCATTCAGCAAGACTCGTAGGTTTCGTGGCTAGCCAGTGACACGTTGCAGTCCAGCTGCTAATAGCATCCTTTCTCTACAAATCTCTGTATTTAACCAACATAACCGCAGGGCTGCTCCAGCTAGGACTATCACAATCCTAAATTTCCGAAACGGAATTCTACAGCTCTAAATCAAATTGTAGACTGCAGAAAGGGATATCAAAATTTTGTTTCCTCATGTTTAGAAGAAAAACGAAAAGACTAGAGAGCTTGGCAAAACACTGCTTCGAACGAAAAACTCCAGGATGAAGGTTTGATGCAATCGTGCGCAATCGACCGAGTTATTTACAGGGCAGTTCGGTTCAGCAGGTTCGCATGCGAGCTCCGTGTACGAATGAGCTTACCGACGACTCCAGGGGATTTCATTTCCGCGATGAGTGAGCTCTTTGTGAGCCTCAATTGCTCGCCACACTGCTTAGCTACTGGGAAGAGCGTATTGTTTTCCTGCCAGCGATAGCTGCGGGGCGTTAAGGTGGGTGAGGCTGGATCAACCTTCCTTTCAAAAGTTGACAGCCACTTCGAGCTCATGTAATCGAGCGTGCGCCAGGGTGGAAGATGCATGTCACTCTGCTTCAAGGATTCTTTTGCGGCCTCAGACATGATTTCCAAAATACGTTGAAGCCTGGAGGCGGAGCCTACGTAAACGACAGGGAGGACCTTCAAAGCAGCTTCGTATTGCTGGGTGGGTCTTGCAATCTCGAACTGGGCTTGGAAGTCTACGTCCACAATGAGCCGTTCCTCCACCGAGTCATCATCAAAGACCACGTCGATGTACTCGTACTCACCTGCGGGAGAGATACAGAAGCAGCCATGTGAATACTTCGACGCACGAAATTCAATCACATCTTAAGATAAAATTCTTGGAGTAAGAGCGCCATTGAAACATGAGAGGGTCCTTGCAAAGGATTTCAACGTTGCCAAAGTTCGAGAGGGGATAAGGATGTGAGATGATACCTCCAGGGACACGGCCGGAGCTTAGCCACTTGGACTTGCACACAGCAGCATCGTAACCGGCAACCTTGAGATGCTTGACGATAAACCGCTTCACGCATCCTCCCTTGCAATCAGAGCCCTCAGGCTTACATACAAGGTTCGAATCTGCGTTAATGGAGAGTAGGAGCAGTTTCACTTCCGTCAAGAATTCTCGTTCCAGAGCGCTGTTTTGGGAAACCCGCATCTGCAGACACCACGAGGCTGGAGCTCAGATCCACTCGCACACAAATCCGTTTCAAGTATCACAGACCACGATCCTGGATCACGGCTGCCGGGGTACCGGTGATCGATTACGATAAAGAATGGAGCAACCAACATTGCACTTGAAAACTGCCGTACCTGTAATGCGTCACTGAGCTTCTTGCCAGGGATTGGCCCATCGTTTATTATTCCGCCACTAGGGTCCAAAGGATCGTTCTCAATGAAATCGTGCACCATTGCCTGGAGGTCGTCACTCTCACTGCTGCCGTAACATGCTGACACTGCGGGAGCTGCGGACACGACTGTACTCACAGGCTTGACACCAAGATAATTGTACCCCTGTGTCAACCACTGAGGTGGGCGCGGCACTGCTTGCCGGGTGTTGATCGGATTCCGAAACATGACTGAATTCTTGCGGCCCCATAAGTATTGATGCTCCGTGGCAGGGGTTTGTATGCCGGTATGGTGAATAGAGTTCGTGTACAAATCGACGCTTGTCTGTCTCCGAAGTCCCGGCATCGTGGGACTACCAATTGTGATGCACGATCCTGTGCTGATTACCAAATTTTCCAGCAAGTGCAATTAAGTTCGGGACCCCGTGACCTGGAAGATGAAGACGTAGAGATTCTCGGGCCTCTAGAAAACCTCTTTCAAGACTATCTCAATGTGAAGATGGGAGAAAGAAATCACACTTTCAAGCGGTGGGATCACAAAGCAGGGATTTCAAACGAACCGTAGAGATCAAAATAGTCAACATCGGATTACGTCCCCTGTCAAATCAAGGAACTCAAAATTCGACCTTGCGTCCTCTTCTGTTTCGTCTTTATGGTATTGTGCTCGACAAGCTCGTGATGAGAGACCATGAAAGAAAGTATGGAGGTGGCGATGAAGCAAGGGCGTGTCGCGACGATTGCGTCGGGGAGGCCACCGGTTGATATGCGACACTCAGCTTCGCGTGAATAACTCGATAGACTCCTCATTCACCACCCCGCCGCGCTCCCTCCCTCTCCCTCTCTCTCTCTCACGCTCTCTAGGTCGCTCGCTTCCAATACTAACAAACCCCCAAGAAACACGACACTCACACTCCTTAAGCAGTCTCAAACACCTTGCGACCCTAATATTTGGGGTACGAAAAGGCTCCTGGAGGATCCCACCAGTTTTGGACGCAAAGGAATCCAAAATCACGTTTATCTTTCAACCTCAACGAACTACAAACGTACTATCAACTACCAGACGAGAACCATAATCCTTAGTCACCACGCAATTAAGTCGATCGACCACCAGAACACCCACGAGGATCCCTGAACAACCTACAATCACGACTGCGACACAACAATCAGCGACCCAACAACTTGATCTCTGTTAAACTCCCAAGATACATTGAGAAGGGTGGCCGACGCGTGCACAGACAATGGCAAGCGCAACCGTTACCCAATCGTGAAAAAGTCTGCGAGACGGTATGTATATAGCAGCAGGTGGGAGTCAGTTAAGCTCTACAAGCATGTGAAAAAGGAGTCGACGGGGGGGGGGGGGGGGGGGGGAATGTCGACACAGGATGCTCCGGGTAATGCGAGGCCCTCGCTCTTTGTAGGCCGAGAAGACAGAGGCCCTCCAGCGTACTGTATAAGGAAGTAAATAAGTTACTTTATGGTAGCCGGACTTCGTAGCTCCGTCCTTTCGCAGTGAAAAAAAAACCACGGGGGTAACGGTCGCAGGCGCCATAACCGTGTTTTACTGCAGATCCCGCCGTCCTTTGTTACTCCGCAATGAAACTTTTGTCAGTTCGGTGGTGCGTACTTAGCTACGCAACCCAAAATGGAATGCTAATGTGTCTGCTGGATTTTTTGGGTCCATAAGGCTGGGGGGAGGGGGGTGGGGTTTACTCGGTCAAGTCGGGATCGGAATGTGCTTGCCCGCATTTGTTTGGGAAGACCACATTCGTAAATGAAGGGTTTCTTGGTATCGTTGGCATTGCCCCACGTTGCTACTACCTAGCAGAGAGGAAAGAATTTCGAACAACGTGGACAACTCTCATGCAACCCACAATTTTGTCGGGTGGTTTCTCAGAAATTAAGGTCATTAAGAACAAAATTACAGAGAACGAACATTCAGGTATGTAAACCCAGCATACAAACGCGTGTTCCTTCTTTTCATCATCTCGACTAATGGTGATCCGAGGTGGTTCCGGTGAAGCTCCGTTGCGCGGATGTCCATGCAGAGTGGTGAGCTCGTGGTATCACGTGGGTCAGCTCACCTTACGTCCTGAGGAAGCTGGGAATGCAGCCATGACACTGCGGCAGCACACTCATGGGGCGCTTCACCAACCCGCAGCATTGAGTTGGACGCAAGGCGAGTAGCGTCCTCATTTTTTCATCGTAGTTGAGAGGATTCTGTCGGAAGAATTCCCTGCGTCAGGCACGAGTACGCTCCAGTCGCGTTCTTGCGCGTCAAGTTAGTTCATTCTCTTCGTCTCTTCTGACCCACGTAACGAATTGGCATTCAAGCGTTGTATCGTTTCGCAATGTATGGGAATAATTTGGGTTTTTGAAACTGGAACAAGATTGATAATTGGATGATTCGAAGCATATCAGGCAAGTGGAGTGCGGCTTTTGGTAACAAGTTATATTTTGGGGCTCGCCAAGATCCAAACCCTGCTTCAATGAGTGAAGAAAATCGTATTTCTGTATTAATTAACAACGATTAGTTTCAAACGATCGCAATCGTTCTCAATGACGATGGAAAGTCATGACATCGTGCGAATCAAACCTCGTGACTTTTGAGGGGAAGGCTTAGCATTCAGCAGTAATTTGAAATTAGATGCAATGGGAAACTTGAGCACTTAAGATTATACAACGGAGAGAAAGGTCGAGAGTGAAAAGTGCTCGGATAGTGTTACAAGAGCAGGGAGGTACGTTCTAAGGAGGTTCATGGCTGGCAATCACTCCCAGGCCTGCCATGGCTTCTGCCCAACTCGGCGACCATAACGACGAAGGTGGCAGATAGGGTTAAGACGTTGGCTCTAGAAAGAGGCACAATGTCCCTGGTACTCTTGTTTCCGCGTGATTTGAGATGATTTTGCTTCGCCCTACCATTGGAATCAACAAGCTCCGCATTCCGGATTTCTTCGTGCCATTTCTATAAGCGCATGGAGTCACTGATGTTGTTAGCCATTTGCTCAGCCGATGCCTACGTGTTCGTCGTTAGCAGCTACTATTTTTTCTGAAGATGATGATGCTATTTGATAGCCACTCAGCACATGTGAAGTGCAGACTCCTAATATTTTTTTCCAACTTTAATCCTGTTTTATCTTAAACTCCTAGACTTGGACGCATATATTTACATTGCAGATAAAGGTTTTCAATTTTGATTAGAAAGCAATTTGTTCCTCTCAACACATGGTGAAATAGTTGATTAGTTACAAGTAGAGGCTGTTAAAGTGCACACACGGCTGCTGTAGGTGTGCGCTCCGTTTTATGCGCAGAAGTTGCCATGAACAATCACTTCTTGCTGCGAGGAGAGCGGCCAGCATTTGCTATTGGGAATTATCGGGTGGTAGGTATGTGTGGTTACCTGACACACCTCATTCAGAATATGTAGACAGGCATTCAATGCTCCACAATTATGCTGCAAAATCAGTTGGTGATTCTTGTTGTATCATCTCGCTACATAGCAAATCATCACGTGAATCCTTAATATCTGTTCGCAGAATGGCCCCAGGTAAGGTTGTTGGTGGAACGGAAGGAAAGTAGCCAGCTTGAACGAGAATGCTGGTGACTGCCATGTCGGATTAGGTTCCGAAGACAATCTCGTTACCTGCAGATATTTTTTGTCATTGATCATAGAAACATGAACTTGTTGAGCTTAGTTTCTAGAAATTTGTTGAGCTGAGAGATCAATGTGTCTCTTGCAGTAATTACTTTTCTGCCGTTAAATTCTCTTTCTTATCTGGTTGTCCTTGCTGAGAGAATCTGTAAATTCTTGGATCGATTCAGTTCGTAGATTTCTTGTGGCAGCCGTGTACATTTGGGAAGAAAGAGCGGTTTGCGTATCATTGTCAATTATGGAAGCGGAACCACAGCCATCGGGCTGGGTGTTGACATTGCTGCTCGCAGAGGGTGCGTGGCATCACTCCCTCGTCTGAACTAGCTAATTTCGTTATGTGGTTTATCTTATGAATTGACTGAATGATCAAATTACTTTCAGTTTTACTCAGCAGGCTTTCTTGGCTAGTGGTAAGAGTGATGCTTGCAGACACTCAAGTCCGTTTCAGACTTAAAAACCGGACTAAATTGTAAGCTTTCTACTTGGATTTAACTCCAATTTTAACCTCTTGTGTCGGTTGAAATGTTGTCCATTCCATGGTCTGAAACGGACTTTAAGTTATCGAGAAGCAGTTTGCTAGGATTATGTCTGAATGTACTCAGGAATTCCATGCACGTAATCGGGAGGTGTACTTGTGGTTTGGCTCGCATAATGCAGATGGAGACAGTTGTGTCAGTTTGTTTGCCGCCTTCCAAAAAAATTATGTTGTGTAGTGCAAGTGCAAGTGCAAGCGTATAGATGGATTTTCATAGAATGGCCGTCCCTCTTGCAAGAAATTGACACATTTCTGTTTCACTGGATAGCAGTCGACCGAAGCTGTCATCATTAGTGAAAAATCTTCACCAATAACACTAATCTCCTAAATCATCAGGTACCAGCCACAAATGTACATGCATTGCTCAAACAGTGGTGGTAGCTGATCGGATTCGGCATCCTGGAACTATTAACTGTAATTGAGTAATCAGATACGGTGTTAACATACCCACTTGTGTCGCTTTATGAGAAAGTTAACCTCGAATATTTATTTTCCCGATGCCTTTCAAGGCAGTGATGTGAACATCACTTTTGAGTTCTCTATCTTCCTCTCTCTCCCTCTCCATATGGGTACTCCAGACACTTGCATCGTGTTTGATTCTAGCCACACGTCATCCCTACTCACGAGTTGTTGTGTGGAAGTTTTGTGTGAGATGTTGCAGTCTCTACAGCGAGCATCGAACTGCACCCTTGTGGATCACTTTCTGATGCGGTAAATGGTCTCAATCTTTCGCACACTACATGCTTTTTGAATGACGGATCAAGGATAAGTCAGCGAGGGCCTCTGTACAGATACCTGGCGTTCAAGACGTGCTGGAGTTTGAATGCCTTCATTGCTGCTTGCCACAACACAGCAATATTCTGTAGTTCTATTTTAGCACTGATTCTGCAAGTGTTGGCCTCCTGGAACCTTGTCTAGACGATGATGTCCTTGTATTTTCTTCCTGGTGGTAGTGATGTAGTAGCGGCAACCACTCGCTACAGGAAACTGTAGATACAGGGATTCCATTTTATTTTTATTTTTATTGTTTATTGTTTATGATCTGCATTTCCATTATGGCCAGCTCTTGACTTGAGAATCTTAAATTTTTTAGAATCTTTTTTTCGCTAAGATGTTAGTACCCTGATTTTTGAAGTGTTCAAGAACACCTATAATTTAATAAGATCAATGTATAAAACTGTGATTATTGTGTATTATGAGAATTATGGGCGTACAGAAAAAAATGGCGTCAGTAATAGTAACAATAGAAAACGTCTGGAAGTCTTCGTGGGAGTCAGTTCATCTCCAGATTTTGATGCCAGAAAATGTCTTTTGAGTCTTCGTGTGACGGTTTAAATGTACGACTTACTGTAAAATCTTTGAATATCAAGAGTATTATGCCCCATTACAGCAATTATTTACTTTTTTTAATTATTTCCAAAGTTAAAATTATTGTTCATGGAAATGTGTGTATTACATATCGATATTAGATCAAATAAAACGAAATTAGTAAAGACGTCATACTACATTTCCAGATACAATGCTACATTTTTTTAGGTATATGTGAAGTTTGTAATTGGTTTGATAAGTGCATTAATTATTCATTGCAATTGTAAAATTGCATATCATAATTCTAAGTCATGCCAAATAAATAAATAAATAAAATAAATTTATGGATCTTAATTTATAGATTTTTTCAAAATAAAAAGAGGAAAACCTTTGTTATAACTTTTAAAAGTAATGTATCACTCAATTGCCATAAGTCTAAATTGAAATGAGTAAAGTAAAGACACAGATATTTATTCAACTCACATGTGTGTATATACATACACATACATTTATAAATATATATATATATATATATATATATATTACAACTAAAATTTTGAATTTCAACAGTTTGGAGTTGATGTGTTTGGTAATAAATATGAATCAATACCACTTAATAGTAAAAAAAAACAAAGGAAATAAGCAAAAAGGAGTAATTCATCAAACATTTATAAAACTTCATAACAAATGATTGTCATTCCTTGGATAAGATTCCCATCTCAAGACTACTAATTATGCAACCACATCCACATTAATCAAGTACCGTTTATCATTAAGCATGTATATGAACATGAAAATGTTGATAGCTAACAATGGCGGCTTAGATTTGGCGGTGTTTATGGGGGACCCTCTTTTAATTCCATGCTTTAAATTTATTGTTCGTGAGAGTCATTTAGATCCTCAGACAGACAGACAGACAGGCGAACGAACAGATAAATGGATGAAGGAAATAATGGATGAGTGAAATGTCAGCGTGCTCTTTGCCAAGCAAACGGGGTTCGATGAGCCAGTGCCACGTGGCAATCGATCTCATTTGCAATTGCACCGTGCCCTTGCATGGATATACGCTATTACCGAGACGTGGACTAACATGTGGCGCCCGTGTGCTTCTTCCGGCTCTGAGGGGTCGTTGCCAGGTCAGCGTGGATGAATGGATGAATATTACTATCTGTTTCGCTTTTGGGTCATCCACCTCTCAATGGGATTAATTAATACAGATCCAGGTTATGGTAGATTAAATTTTATTAAAACTGACTTCTGTTACATGACTTTGTAAACAAATTATTATTAAATGATCTTTAAAATAAGAGAATAAAAAAGAAGTTTGAGTTTCGTTTGAAACTTAATAAATTAGAATGCTCAAAATGAGTTTCAAGATTTATTTTTGAAAAATAGAACTTGATACTGAGTTGCTGAATTGTGTGTTCAGGACTTACTTATTTTTAATATTGTGTTATTTTTTTTTTATAGGAAGAATTTCACATCAAGTTTTTTTTACACAAAAAATTACAAAAAACTTTTAGTGTTTTGAATTGTTGTTCAATGCATTAGAACATATTCTTTATGTTGTTTATTTTATTTTCTTTAATTTATAAATTAAATAAATATTATGATGTGGATCATTACATGAAAATAAGCCAAGAGTTAAAAAGAAGATTATAAAAAAGAAGTCAATGAAGTCAATCATTTATTTTTGCATCTACACACTTTGCTTGAAAAACTAATGATTTATTGCATAGTTTACGAGGAAAAAATCCAATTTCTTTTTTCTTCCATTTTATTTTAAAGACATTTCCATCTTATTAAAAATATATACATGAAAATAAATAAAAATTGAAGGTTTATTTTTTATTTACAAAAAATTGTCAAAACATACAGTCTCTAAGTACATGCACATATGTAACTATAAAGTAATATTATTTTTAAATTTTTTTTTATCTCCAATTCTATTTCAGTTATAATCCGTAGGAGATTAACTTGAAGTTATGTTACTGGGATATTTCTAACTACATATACATATATATATACATTCAATATTATCTTATTCTCTGGTTTTTATTTTTATCTTCAAGTAGTTACATAGTCCTTAAGGAGTTGATTGATCACATCAAATGCTATGATGGAAATGCTATATAATATCTCCTCTCTTATCTATGATGTCGTCCCCAATTTCAACTGACTTCAAAAAGTAGCAGTGCTTGCAATTTAAAATATAAAAAAAAGATAGCCAATAATCATAACTATGTCTTGTACTTGGTTGGCATGGATGTCCATATTTTTCAACTTAGACTTCTCTTTCTTGTATCACCAGTTACATAGACATGATTGTTTTGACCCTTGAAAATCCTCAAATACCAGTGTTTCTAGAACTGAAGAATTATATATATATATATATATATATATGTATCTATATTTGAGTGTCTACAATGGCGTAGAGTATCCTAAAAGCTTTCTTTCTTGCTCTGCTTTGCTTTTTCAAAGGAACAAAGATTTGCAGTTGTGTGTAAATTAAGACTTTTAGAGGCAGTGCCAATGGACAATGAGCCCCATAATGCAGAGTGGACCTGTGGAAAGGAAGATGCCACATGTGCTCATTTGTAGTGGGAAAAGGGCCGAGGTGGACTATGGCTTCATGATGGACTCATCTGTCACCCTCACTTACCCACTCCACATTATGTTGTCATTCTATTTATACTAAAAATTGTTGAAAACATTCCTTAAAAAAAGAAAAAAATAACTTTCCATTCAATATACATTCTCCTGCACTAGTCTTGACAATTGGCAGAAGATCAGCAAGTGGGTGGACTCACCTGGATCCTCAGGGAGTACGCTGAGCAATACGTATGCTATGACTGAGAAACAGATTTGTAAGCTCTCCAGAAGTACCATCAGCAGTTGTAATCATTGAGCAGTTTTGAGTAACATCAACGACGAGTCAAGCAAGAGAATCCCCTCTCAGCTCACGAAAAGCTGAATTAAAACGTTGTGCTACATAAGCTACTGGTTAATTGAGAGACGAGCTGAAGAATGGTAGAAACATCTATATGCACATCGAACTTAATAAAAGTTTCGATGTGGAAAGAATGAGACTTGAAAATAATATAACCCACATGAGTCCTGGTCTCGATTGCCTGAACCCACAGGTAGTACCAGGAGGTACAAAAGCTCCGGCTCCCTATGGTGTAGTCGTCACAAAATGATGCATAAAATTTTCTAGCAATTTTGGTAAGATTAGCTGGTGTCTTGCGGCACGCTACAAGAGACTGGAGTGCAGTCCATTGGCCAAGTCCTTAGCAGCCAGAAGCTCTGAGATTGTAGGTGTGTAGTAGTGAGGCTGGATTTTGTTATCAGCACTCTGCAACGTCTCCAGCGTGGTCACACCTGCAAAGTTTCAGCTTATTAGCTTCTTGCACATAACAATATATTTGTAAGCAGTGCACCCAAATAAAGACCGACAAGCATTCCTCATAATTTAGTGGTTAATTCATTAGTAATTGCCTGAAAGAACCAAGAGAGTTGCGCAACCCTCATTTTGGCCAAATAGGATGTCGGTGTCTAGACGGTCCCCCACCATACATATCTGCGATGTCTTGATGTTGAATCTGCCACATCGCCAACAATCTAATCAAAATTGTTTCATCCACGAGTGGGTAGATATTCTAAGAAATCCGATGACGCGTGTTTAAATGGAGAGAGAATAGTCATAGGTTTAAGATGGATGATGTACTTCGATGTAACATGGTCCATCATGAATGTCGAGGGCTTGCCGACCACAAGAGGCTCCCTCTGCGTTGAGCCTTTGATAGCACCAACCATGCACCCACCCCCTGTATATACCACCACCCCTTCAAGGGTAAGGATTCGCTCTTGCCCATTTGGATCCTCATAATCTAACTGTTGCCAAGTTATAACTCTAGTAAACGTCAAACCAACATATCCGTCGACTCAGGAATACAATATCTTCATAAAATCGAGCTTGAGCAATCGAGATCAAGAAAGAAAATACCTGCCCATTCTTGACATTCTGTAAAATGGGCGACGGAGTCGCAATTCGTGGCAATGAACATGCACCCAGGGTTTTCACGAATGCAGAGAGTAGCATACCTGACCAATCGTGACACTATGAACTGAGCAGCGTGATTTGAATCAGCATTCATCATCCAATGTATGTCCCCCTTATCACTGTGCATGAAAGCGAAAATAATATTGCTTCGGATAGTTGCTCATGAAAACAAGTAGTGAGGTATTAGAAGGCTTACTGAAGCTTGTAGTAGTTGATGTAACGATCAAAACCTACCACCACAGCTGCCACCTTTACACAGAGCAAGTTTTTTCTGTCAGACTCGGTCAAGTCTATGGTGAAGAGAAAACAGGAAACAAAGAGGGAAAATAATACTAATGATCATAATAATAACAAATTAAAAATATTCTTTCAAAACACAATATTGGTATGGCATGGAGCAATCGTAACATAGACAGGTGTAGACATACATCAGGATCGTGCTGCATAAGCTGACCAGGAGAGAGGTCGATTCTTTTATCTCCATCTTCCTTCAAAAGTACAAAGATGTAAGCAAAATTACCAAGCGATTTTGGAATACTACATAATTATGCACCAATTAACTATTTGAAATGGAATAGAATGACTACCTCTTCTTCAGATCGCCGAAAGCAATGACAATCCATAGGTGATCATACGAAAACAGAAATCTCAGCAAACACTTTACATCAAGATTAAGTAGATAGTATAGAAACATACGGGGCCTCCGAGGTAGTTTATACCAGCTTGTTTGAGTTCCAACTGGATTCCAGATTCACCAACTACGTATACCTATCTCATACTCCATATAACGTTCAAAAGTTTAGTAATATGACAGAACCGTTTGAATGTTAAAATAACAAATAAACGTACAAGGTCATAAATTTAACAATCGTATATCCTACATGAAGTATAAGGACCAATTCAGTGAGCTGCCTTGTTGGTGTCAAACCCTTCAGGCCTTCCTCTCTATTGTTTGGAAAGGAACATAACCTACTCTCTGGATTTGTAGACGATCCAAACATAAGAACATGAAAATCGAGTATTGATATAATACTCTTATGTCAGAAGTTCGTGTTGTAGAGTTAAATGCTCGAGCATCAGATTCTAGCAGCTTCGTATACATGTCTTGCAGGAAAAGTTTAGCTACAATAACATCAACAAAAACTTCAATAACAATGCTTACAACCCTACCTTCTTGTGCGAAGGAAAATTGATCGACATCAAGTACGCTGCTGCAGCAAACGACGATGAAAAGATCTCTTCCTGCACCCACCAGCATTAGAACCATGAGAATGATGAAGAATTAACAAGTGCTGCTACTGAACAGATGAACAGCCTAAGTAATCTTCAGGTAATTCATGGGAACCAGAAGCTTCACCTCAGTGACATCAAGGCCCAGCATCTCAAACTTTTTCCCATATTGCTTTCTCGACTTGGTGGAGTTGTTAGTCACAAATATCAGCCGCTTGCCCTGCATTCTCAGGATAGCAACAAATATAAACACCTTCAACACGGCCCCTTAAACCATAAATTCTTAACTTGGACCATAAAGGTTGAACACGGCCCCTTAAACCCTAAATTCTTAACCCGGACCATAAAGGTTGAACACGGCCCCTTAAACCCTAAATTCTTAACCTGGACCATAAAGGTTGAACACGGCCCCTTAAACCCTAAATTCTTAACCTGGACCATAAAGGTTGAACACGGCCCCTTAAACCCTAAATTCTTAACCTGGACCATAAAGGTTGAATGATCTAGGTGCAAGTCCAAGTGGCCTTAGATGATCCCACTTCGGCAGCACCATTTAATTGTAACGATAAGGGATCAAGAAGTTGTTCACTTTCAAAACTAACCTTAGATCGAAGCATCTCAACTGTCTCAGGCACTCCATCGATCAGCACATCCCCTCTCCATATAACACCTGCACACAATTTTTAAAGAATCCAATTGGGTTTCATCTTCAGCTACTTGTGTCAGAAGGAACAATGCCGACTGGATTAAACGACTGATCTGATCATGGCTTCATCAGCCTCTAATTCTTGTGAGGCAATTCTCTTTGGCCGCGAATACTCTTTTAATGTGATAAGTAACTAGGACATTATACATATATATAACTGAAGCAAATCAAGCGTCACATTAGCAGTAGGGATTCTAGACCGCTTCGAACGACAAAAACAGTAAGTCACAAGACTCCAAAACCTCCGCCGTAAACCCTAATAAAACGAATTCAGGGGAGAACATCATACCATCACAATCGAAGAGGAACGTCTCCACGCTATCGATTAACTTGGCAGGGTTTGTTAAGAGAGAGGCCGAGGCAGTTGCCTCTGTACAAAGTGATTCAAAATCATGACTGCAATAATCCGAAAAATTGACGTAAAATTGACAAAGCGCCCATTAAGTAACAGCTGATCCGAATTTATGGTCGAAACACGCAAAGATATCCACGATTCATGATGCAGGGTTTTGTCTTCTTACCAGAGCGAAATTGGGCCATGCATCAAACTGTGAATTCACCGTGCAACCGTTTAATCGGTCACAGCAAAAGCTCCGTTTTATAATGCCCCGCAGTGAAAGTCTAGCATTAAACGAAACTACAGGGGATGAGCAGGGACTATTTAGAAGTATGGCAGATGGTGCGAAATGATCCTGCCCAATTTGCCGAATCGGCTCCACCAAATGCGGTTTCCATGTATAAGCTCTAACGGTGTAGGAAGTGTGTTTCAGGAAAGTGGAATCGGATTGTCGAAATGAGCAGAAAAATCTCATTTGTTCAGACCGTTTCTTTCTTCAAGGGAACAGTGAATTCAACACTAACGTCAATTGTATTGTAGACCTGCAATTTACCAACTCCTTTATCAGGAATGGTTCGATACATCCAGCATCGATGTCAGGTTATAGCCTATCAATTTCAAGCTTCAAACAGCTGAAACTGCTGCAAGTAAAACCAACCAATGGATTCATATGCAAAGAACTCCAAACTTGGGGAAGACGATCTCCACAACTGATAAAACTTCTGCGAATGAAACAGGAGACACTTATGAAACAGTTGAAAATAAGGGCTCAGACATGTTGGGCCTGGTCTTTCCAGTCCAAAGTAGTGTCCTCCGGAACTATAATTCCTAATGCGGGAAGAATGAATTAGAACATTACACAATCTATGATGATGTGTGGATATTGTATTACATTTCCGACATGGAACATGTTTTTTACATCCTTCTTTTACGAGTGATTCTGTAAAACACAATCGATAACTGGTATGATTTGGTATGCTAACCTGTCAATGCGCTGGGGTTTGTGGGAAGGGGTATAAACGTTCCCCGTTTCCACACAAATTTCCACTTTTACGTCGGTTACCAGGCACGCCAGAAACACATTCCCAGAAGCGAATTAGGAGAACGGATAGGAGTATTAGAGCGATTGAACAATGTTATGCGAAACTGCGGCTTTGTAAAATCTCCTTTAGGTGTATTTAACAAGGATATATTCGAGGACAGATTCACTCCGATGTCAAATGGGCATTCTCGAGAAAACACCCTCAATGACATTATTGCGAAAAACCCACCAGAATTTCGTCAAAAACCAAAAACCATTCAGTCCATTATCAAAATTTAAAAGTATCGTCACACAAATCACAAGCGACCAGTACGAACAATTTACAGACGTAGCCAAGGCTTTATTTAAATTTCATATACGGCACAAAATAGGAGGTACATTCTGTTCAATAATTAGTCATTCTACAGACCACCCCGGAGCCGCAGCACCAAGTGAAGGGTGGATTCCTTTTGGATGTTGTAGTCAGCCAATGTACGACCATCCTCCAATTGCTTCCCAGCGAAGATGAGACGCTGCTGGTCCGGTGGGATTCCCTCCTTGTCCTGAATCTTCGTCTTTACATTGTCAATTGTATCCGAGCTCTCGACCTCGAGGGTAATTGTCTTCCCCGTCAAGGTCTTCACGAAGATCTGCATGCCTCCCCTCAACCTAAGCACTAAGTGTAAAGTGGACTCCTTCTGAATGTTGTAGTCAGCAAGAGTCCTCCCGTCTTCCAATTGCTTTCCTGCAAAAATCAACCTCTGCTGGTCAGGTGGGATGCCCTCCTTGTCCTGAATCTTCGTCTTTACATTGTCAATTGTGTCCGAGCTCTCAACTTCGAGGGTAATCGTCTTTCCCGTCAAGGTCTTCACAAAAATCTGCATACCACCTCTCAAGCGCAGAACCAGATGCAAGGTTGACTCCTTCTGGATGTTGTAGTCAGCAAGGGTGCGCCCGTCTTCCAATTGCTTTCCTGCAAAAATCAACCTCTGCTGGTCGGGCGGGATGCCCTCCTTATCCTGGATCTTTGTCTTCACATTATCAATTGTGTCCGAGCTCTCTACCTCGAGAGTAATCGTCTTCCCTGTCAAGGTCTTCACAAAAATCTGCATTCCTCCCCGCAACCTAAGCACCAAGTGCAAGGTAGACTCTTTTTGGATGTTGTAGTCGGCAAGGGTGCGCCCATCCTCCAACTGCTTCCCAGCAAAAATCAGCCTCTGCTGGTCGGGTGGGATGCCCTCCTTGTCCTGAATCTTTGTCTTCACGTTGTCAATTGTGTCTGAGCTCTCGACCTCGAGGGTAATCGTCTTTCCCGTCAGGGTCTTCACGAAGATCTGCATGCCTCCCCGCAACCTAAGCACCAAGTGCAAAGTGGACTCCTTCTGTATGTTGTAGTCAGCAAGGGTGCGCCCGTCTTCCAACTGCTTACCTGCAAAGATCAATCTCTGCTGGTCGGGTGGGATGCCCTCCTTGTCCTGAATCTTCGTCTTCACGTTATCAATTGTGTCTGAGCTCTCGACCTCGAGGGTAATCGTCTTTCCCGTCAGGGTCTTCACGAAGATCTGCATGCCTCCCCGCAACCTAAGCACCAAGTGCAAGGTGGACTCCTTCTGTATGTTGTAATCCGCCAGCGTTCTACCGTCCTCCAATTGCTTGCCCGCAAAGATCAACCTCTGCTGGTCAGGAGGAATCCCCTCCTTATCCTGGATCTTCGTCTTCACGTTATCGATTGTATCGGAGCTCTCCACCTCGAGGGTGATGGTCTTCCCAGTCAAGGTCTTTACAAAGATCTGCATCTTGAACTAAAAGATAACTGAAAGCAGTAATTGAGGAGATATGTAAGAGAAAAACCCAAGCTCCCTCTCACGCTAGCTTCTTCACAGCAACACGAACCTCTCCTACTCACTTCCACAATCAAGAGGTAGAAAGTAACAAATTCGAGGGACGGTGAGAGACCCTTGAGGTTTATATGATGATGAGCATGAACGAGGTCAGGATGAAGCACAACGGACAAAAGAGATGGTATAAAGGATGCTCAGGTCGATAAAAATATCATTCGTCGCCTCGTCCAACGAAGGGGGCAACAATGAGGACACTTCGGCGAGGATGAATAGCGAGAGAAAGAAGACGACTAGGTCTCGTTGAGCGGTTTCAGGCAATTTCGTGGAGATCCTCGAAAGCGTGAAACGTAAGCATGGAATCTGAAACTTCTCGAATCGCAACTTGCAATCAATCGGCACCATGTAAAATCGCAGATGCTCCGATACGAAATCCTCCAGTCGCCGGTGATGAAAGACGTTCCGATATTTCCAGGTGGCGGTTGATTGCCAAGCCAGATATTTACTCTAGAGCCTTCCATTACGGCAACTGCGCTTGTCACGGCCGGTTACTTCCAGCTGAACAGCTTGTGGATTCGGAGAAAACCCTAGCATGTTCCACTAGCTTCGACACTGAAGCCATCGTGGAAAGTTTGCAATACGGTGGCAAGACCTATGACGCCGTGTATGATGAATTATCGGCTTCTTCGTGGCTTTCCCTGCGGAATCATTCGTCCACATATTTCCATCGTCCTCTCAAATTTCGATGTTGAAAGTCGACGCCGAAAAGTGAAGCGGTGATCGAAACAGTAACGACGATGCCACTCTACTTGCTCTCTCTCTCTCTCTTCGGCGAATTGCTTCGTTCCTCAAAGCGGTGCGTCGGGACTTCGTCGGTGGTTTGCACAACCCCAATAAGCTTCCACCATTGTTTTGGCTTCATGCAACGTTGGCCATTTATTTGATCCACCTATCACAACCGACATTGTATCCTCTGTTCTCTATTCCAATCTTGTTGTTCTCCGTCCCACGTTCTCATCCTAGCCCACATTCCTTATCCCAATCCTCTCTTTCCTTGTTTCTGCTCTTGTTCCCATCCCCCGTCCCAACACCTCCAAACGACGGACGGGGTTGTAGGGAACTGCAATATATATTCAAAGGACTGCAAAAATAATTACCGTCCCCTGAGAGGCTTTGTTGGGGATTGGTTCAATCTTCAGACCCCCCTTCCAGCTATGCACATATCTCTTCAAATTGAGGATAATCCCCCGGCATCCACAACACAAGGATAATCTTCCTGTTCTTGTTCCTAGCACACAGGTGAGATCTTCTATACCATCTATGCCACTTTTTCAAATCAATTAAGCAACCTCAAGATTGTCAATGCTTGCTTGTTCAATCACATGAATCCAAAAAATCTCATCAAATTTCACAAATATATATATATATATATATATATAATAAGAGAGTCAAGTTACAAGCACTTTATCCACATAATTACATAACTAGTATCATTTGAAAAACACATCTTTTATCTCTATAAGATCAAGTTTTTGTATAAAAAGTTGTTTAAAGTCAAATCATTTGAGCAATGATTTATATAGTATCTTATATGAAGATGTATCTATAACACTTAATAAGTATTGGCAACCACAAAGCTTATAAAATTTATATAAAATATGCGATTTGTTATACAAGATATGAGTGGCAGTGGATTATCTTCAATTTGAAGGAATATATACATGGAAGGTTGGAGGTTGAAGGAATGCTCTAATCTCCAACAAAGCCTTTTAAGAGATATTAATTATTTGAAGGATTTCTCTTAATATCACAAATAAGAGGATCAGAAGACATACTTGACTGAACTTGCTTAATGAAAGTTGAATCAATAATTAGTATTGATTTCATTACTCGAAGATGAAGATGCTCGAGCTTCAAGTGAATTGTCAATTGTTGATCAAAAGTAGCATCTCCTTCCTTTGATGCAAGATAAGATCATCTAGAGAGTGCATCTGACAAATCTTATTGTTTTTTCGGTCGACAAGTGATCTTGAATTCGAATCTTGATAAAGACATATTTCAACGAGCTTGGCAACAATTCAAGATACGTGCTGATATAAAATATTCAAGGTTCTTGTGATCTGTATATACGGTGATTAGACTAAGAGTACCTTCTAGATAATGGCACCATTCTTGAAATGAATCTACAATTACAAAAAGTTCTTTGTCATGGATCTCGTAGTTGATCTCGACTGTTAAAAATTTTCTAGAATAAAAAGCTACTTGATGAAGTTTATCATTTGTTTCCATTTGTGACAATAGGGCACCCAAAGCAAAGTCTAATGCATCTATTTCTATAAAAAATGGCTTAAAAAAATTCATGCAATACAAGATTGGTGCGAAAACAAAGGCTATTTTCAAGGCTTCAAATGCTACTTCTGCTCCTTGATTCCATTGAAGGTTGTCTTTACAAGTCAAATGTATAAGTGGAGGTGCAACTTGAGAGAAGTCTTTGATAAAGATTCGATAGTAATTGGCAAATCCCAAAAAGCATTGGACATCTCTTACCGTTTTTGGGATCTTCCAATCTATAATAGCTTGAACTTTCTTAGGATCCATCATAAGTCCATCATTTGAAATGATGTATCCTAAAAATTTGACTTGAGTAGTGTGAAATACATACTTTTCTATCTTGGCATAGAGTACTGCATCTCTTAGTTTTTGTAACATACGACAAATATGAAGTTCATGTTCTTCTATGTTCTTAGAATAGATTAAGATGTCGTCTAGGTAACAGATAATAAAATCATCTAAAAACTCTCAAAGACATCATTCATTAGATATTGGAATAATGCTAGTGCATTTATAAGTCCAAAAGCCATGACGTTGTATTCAAAATGTCCATACCTTGTTCGAAACGTAGTCTTCTATTCATCTCCTTCTTTGATGTGTACTAGATTGTATGCTCCTTGTAGGTCTATTTTTGAATAGATCTTAGCTTGATTCAACTAATCAAGGAGTTCAGATATTAAAGGTAGCAGGTACCTAATTTTAATGGTGATTTTGTTGAGTCCTCGATAATCGACACATATCCGTAATAATCTATCTTTTTTTTTTCACAAATAAAATTGGATCTCTTGTTGGAGATTTGGAATGGCGTATGAAGTTCTTGGCCAGATTCTCTTCAATATACTCCTTGAATTCAGCCAATTCATTTTGAGATAAATTATAGATTGGTCTAAATGGCGATTGTGCTCCTTCTTGAAGGTCAATTGAGTAGTCATAGGAATGATGTTCCGAAAGAGTATCTGCATTTTTCTTCTCAAATACATCTTGAAAATCTTGATATTGGCTTAGAATGCCACTTGAAGTCTTTCCATTAGTAGAAACAGATGTGGCACAAATGACAGAAGGTGATCCTTCTTTTGCATCATGCAAGAAAGATCTTGCACCTACAATTACAAGTTTAATTGTACTAGACTTATGACTTTCTACTTGATAAACTATGCTCTTAGTTATACTTTCAAAAAAGTCAAGACTACGAGAAATCTAGTCTATTTCAGGATTATATTTTTCTAGTCATGATAAACCTAAAATGACTGGATTAGAAGGAGATCTAATGATATTAAATATTACAAAGCTACTATGACCATTACTTGCTACTTCTATAGGAAGGATTTCATGAGTAATATCTTTTGAAGACAATGGATGACCATCTATGACTTCTACATGAACAAGTTTAGTTTTCTTTATTAAAAGTATGCTATGTCTTTTAGCATATTCTTCATCTAAGAAACATGTTGAGACTCGTGAATCTAAGAAGGCATAGGCTTTGTGATATTTAGGTCCTAGAATAACATTTATCGTAAAACAAAGAGAGGATTTAGAGTAGAGACTAAGACCTACACTAGGTATTGTACAAGGTTCCAATCGCACGGTCCCTATTATAGTTGGATAAACTCATTTTTGGAGATACTATCTTCTTTGATAGCCGTACTCCTTATTTTATGATTGGATCACTTCTTTGGATAATGTTGAGTAATGTGCTTAGGTTCTCTACAATATAAGCACAATCCTTCCTAACAATGACGAGTCTTTTTTTGCTTAGTAAGAGGTTTGAAATGTACCGCATCAATTTGCATATCCTCTACTTCCGAATGTATGAGTTGGAGAGATGTTGGTGTTGCCATTGAATTATAGTAATATTAAGGTCTATTTTTATGGTTCTCAAATGAAAATTCAGAAAGATGATTGTCGCACTTCACAGCAAAGTCAATTTCTTGATTCAATATTTGAGGATCAGGTAAGTTGAGCATTAATTTTTTTACCTCATATTGTAATTCGTAGAGAAATTGGCTAACAAGTGCTGCATCATCCCACTTGATATCAGTTGTAAGTTGTCAAAACTGTGAAGCGTATAATGTTATTGATCGATTGTCTTGTTACAAAGTACGGATCTTGTTGGTTGCAATACAAATTGCATCATGTTCTCTATACATGGATCGAAACTCTGCCAAAAAATACCTCAAGATTATCCAATATTGGATTTTGTCATTCAAAAAAAGATAAAAACCATGATAATGCTGAATTTGAAGCATATCAATGAATCTAACTTGCAATCATGGAGTTGGATAGCTTTCGGGTTGAAGTTCAATCACAAGTTATACTTGATTTATAAATCCTCTAAACTTTACTCTAGTGCAATCAAACTTCTTGAGTAAGACAATTTTAGGTTCTTTAAGACTAGAAGGGCATTCCACTATAAGAGAAGGGACATAATTTGGTGTAGATATTGAAGCAGCTCCAATCATTTCTATATCTTCACTTCCTGCCAATCTTGTTGCTCCTTGTGGTGGTAAATTGAATTGCTGCATTGTAAGCATTAACTTCCTCAATTGCTCTTGCATTTGTGCTATTGTACTCTTCATTTCAGTAAGTTCTGCCATAATAACACTTACAAAAGAAAAGATGTCTAATATCACTCAAGACAAATAGAAGAGAGGACTTGAGAACAAAGAAAATACTACGAACAATATCAGTTTAGAAGAGGGTAATCCGCAACTTCTAATACGCTTATGTCTTATTAAGAGAAATGAATAATCCACTCTTAATCAAGATTAGACAAAGCTCTAATATTGTAA